AAGTTTAATCACCCCTCTCCCAACATCATATGCTTATAGTGATTCTCAGTGAAACCCACTATTCAGAATCGCTGTAATAGTATATCAATATCAATATGCACTAAATTTAGGGAATTAAAAATAAAATAAACTTCAGAAACAATATATCCATTTTTTTCAAAGTAAACTGTATTTAGTGTATAACCGAAGACGAGTTTATTTAATGTGAAGTTGCATTTAATGGTTCAGCATTAATTGTATCTATCCTTATTACATGTATATAAGTTAGTTAAAAGTATATTTGCATTTTACAAAATTTAAAAATCCTCTCCTTTCCATTTTCCGTCATCATTATCAGAATTGTTTGCGTCATCTATAATTTTTTTATAATACATGTAATAGATATAAATATGGGAAATTCCAAATCGATTTCAAGGAAACAAAACATTAATTTGGAAGATGAGCGGCAAAGACAACAAAGTAATGATTCCAGCGGATTTAAGGAAGAATATTACTTACCTAAAACAGAACCTCAAATTGACCGGTTGCAACGCCAGCATTTTATCGTCCAACATATATTCGGATCTAACTTTTATTGTCCTATGGAAGAGACGTTAAATATGGGTGCTCGTGTTTTAGATGGAGGGTATCTTGCATTTATATGTTATATCATATTCTGATCTCATATTCAATCCGTTTTTCACTTTATGTTTCGCTTTGCTTTCCAAAAAGATGTGGGCCGGGAGCTTGGCTTCTTGACATGGCGACGAATTATCCAAATTCTCAATTCTTTGGTGTTGATATTGAACCAGTTTATCCGAGTCAAATAAAACCGGAAAATACAAACTTTCACCAGTGTGACTTGACGAAGTTGGAACAATTAGGGTTCGAGGAAAACTCATTTGATATGGTTCGAACAGGTCACCTGTTTCTTTCGCTTAGCAAAGAAGATTATACCAAAATTATTGAGAAAATGTTAAAGTTTGTCATTTTCTATATAGATGAGTACTTAGATTGCAAGCAATGACATTTGTTCAAACATAATTTTCCATGATTATTCTATTTAACCGATTACTAAAGCCGGGTGGATATTTTGAAATTTCGGAATCAGAATCCATTCTCTCTAATGGTGGTCCAAAGATGACACGAATGGCGAACACGAGTCAGTTCAAGATTAATTGAGGAATCTTAATTACTATTTTTCATTTTTTGTTAATCAATTGGTAAACTATAATATTTCAGTTGTAGAGGGTCTTAAAAAAAGCACCGAACTCACCTTAAATTACGAAAAAATGTTTCTCGCCACCGAGCAACTATTAAACATTCAACAAGAGACACGAGTAGTAAAGATTGGCCCACCTGGTGGCATCGCCGGAGAACTGCATTTAAGCTAAATCGATGAATTTCTTTTGGGTTCTATTAGAGAGATGTTAAAGAAATTAATGGTCATGACTTCAGAAGAATATGAACAATTTTGGCAGCAATGTAGAGCCGAATGTATTGAATTAGAAACTGGAACTCGGTTTATAAGAGTTTGGGGACAAAAAATCATCATTTGATTTTTGGCTGTTATTATTGAAAAAATGGATCGGTATCCAGTAAATCTCGAGCAATGTTATGTTAATGGTCTCGAATTGTTGCCGTCACACAACCACAATACGTACGATGCAAATTATGAAAGACACTGGTGTACCAATCCAACAAATTTATTCATTTACAATTTCGTATCGATATCGATACAATACAGGATATATGGCCAGCAGAGTCAAGATACGTGTACTTAGATATTTGAATTGCATCATCATGCAGATTATTTAGTAGAAAATTACCGACATTCAATTACATGTAATTGAAATATCATTAAACATTTAATTATTAAATATTGCTACAATATAAGCTAATATTTTCGCTAAATTTTTCATTTTGAAACGAAGATTCCAAGGTTAAGTTACATATTAGACATCCAACAGCACCAGGATGTAGGGGGAATTGTCCGAAATGATTACGTATTTTGATAATCACTGGTCCGGAACTATCATCCGACATACCCTTAAAATCATGCACCAATCAAATTGCAGGATCAATGTGTAACGCAAAAAAATGTTTACTTTTACTTTTGAAAAAGAGCTTTTATCTTGAAATTTTACTACATTTAGCGTTTTCGTTTGTTATACAATAACCTTAACCCTAAACCTAACCCTAATCGAAACTTTATTTTTTTACCGTGGCTAGGGTATGTAGTTCCAACGGCCGAACGTGTCGGAGATCGTCAAAACATGTGTTCTATCACGTGTTCTGACAATTCTCTACACCTGGCGATTTCTTAGACATCCGGTCAAACCTTCTGCAAATAGAAAAAAATTTATTAGTTTGTCATCGTTATAATGGGGTTAGTGATTCTGGCTGATAATCAAAAAATCGGCCAAAGTCGATTTTTCGACCTAGTCGGTTGATTTTGAAAAAACCGGTCAGCTTAGCTGATTTTTAGTACGTAGATAATAATTAAGTATACCTACGCAAAATTAGATGAATTCTCACTTGTTAACTGAATAAAATTGTGAGTTTATGGTGGCAAATTAGCTTATGGGCTTGAAATCATCTATTTCATTTTCTAATACCATTAGTTTAACCTTAGAAGAACACGTAGAATTTGAAATGAGAATTCCATAATGCACCGCTAGAACCAAAGATTAGCATTAGCGTTAGACATATACATGTATCGATATTACTATAGAATGCTACACCGGAAATCGACTAATCGACTGGTTGATTTTGATTACAGCGATCGGTCGATTGTTTGTTATCGACCAAGAATCACTTCGGATTAACTGTACAGTACAGTATACGTAACGAGAACGAGAATGATTTCACAAAGTTTTGTTGTGCACTTTTTTTTCAGAAATTATGCAAAAACGGTAATTAAAAAATATTAACTTGATGTTATTTACTCATTTTACTTTACAAAATTCGTAAGGTAAAACGAAATAACTAACATTAACGTTTAGAGTTTGGAGCCGATTTAATGTTTCTTATTCTAAAACTGGTTTTTGATGTTAAAAATAAAACCGGTTCCAAACTCTAGCAAGGTATAAATAGAACATCACTTGCGCGTTTGTTTATATTATTAAATGCACTTGTCACGAAATGCATTTAATAATATAAACAAACGCGTAAGTGATGTTCTATTTATGCCTTGCATTGCCATAGTCAAAACATTGAAATATACCTTAAAAGGTGTTTCTTTTGCCAAGACTAGTTGAAAATTCAATTGTATTTAAATTGGCTAAAAAATTTATTAGATAGGTCAATTTTTTGACATTGATTGGCTCTTAAAGAAAGTGAATAAATTTTCTTCGGATCTTGTTTAAACATATCCACAAACAACTAGTCTTTTTTGGAATTTGAATTTCTATGATGCACAACATTTATAATCGACATAAACAAAATTTTATTGTTAAAAATAAAGAGATTTTATAGAATGAGAGAATCATTCTTGTGTACATCATGAGTTTATAGGATTAAATGTTTCTTGACGTTAATAGACGTTGAGGGCTATACTATATTCTAAAAAAAATTTATTTAAGTCACGAGAATCACAGAAAAGAAATATATGCAATTACTTTAAATTGTATTGCCATCTGATAATTGTCATCTTATCCTTGTCATTCTTTGATGATTTATTCGAAACAACGTCTAGAACTCATTACAGTAACTGACCCCTGATAACTTTCCGAAAATTATGTGTAATGCTCTGAAATTTTCCGAGCACAAAGAACATCACAACGCTGATCATTGATACTTTTTTATAGATTGTATTTCATAAACTCACATACTCCAAATACAATAAATCGATCACTTTGGGACTTCGCTCAAATTAGGTCACTGGATATCGAAATATTACATACCAAAGTGACCGATTCATGTCGATCAATGAAATTGATCCATTTAACAAATAATAATTTGTTCACCATTTCAGCCAAACAGGTTCTTTTAGAGGTAATTTGATTTCCTGCATTTAACCTGATTTATCATATTACATTATAGATTAACAAATTCAAATTCTAAACCACTCAAATCAACCCCGGGTAGCTATGACCGCAATCCGATACCCGACCCATCCGCGAGTAATCTGGTTGCACCTAACCCGGGTCTAATATCTGTCCAAAAGCAACGATTATTCGATGATGATGTCAATAAAGACTTCATTCAAAAATGATAAAAATTCAGTGGCCACGATGAAAATTCATGCGGATAAAAAAACTTGTGCCAACTTGGATCAAACATGAGTTTAGAAGTTATAGCGACTTCTACGAATATTTCTATGAAGAATTACCTAATTATTCTGATTCGGAAGTGGAAGTGGAAAATATTTATGACGTGTAAAGTTATAAATTTAGTACCCTAGCCATGACGAAAAAGTGTCTGGTCATGTGATTCAGATACCGATGCCCCTTTAATTATAATGCATAGTTTCGGTTAGGGTCAGGTTTAGGATTAAGGTTATTATATAACATATAGCAAACAGAAACGTAATGTATAGTAAAAGCTTGCAAGAAATATTTTTGTCAGAACACAAATGACTGTTTCATAAGTAAACTTTCAAGATACAAGCTATTAAATGTTTGTTTTCAATTTTTTGTATTACATATTGATCTTGTGCTTTGATTGGAGGATATTGGATGGTCAGGATCAGAATCATATGACCTAACACTTTCAACCATGTGACACTTATTTGTCACCATGTTACAACATGGTGATGCTGTATTTATCATCACGTTGCAACAATTGAGGAGCCATCTTTACTTGAGAAGACGATGTTCTCTGCTGCAAAGTATCGATTTCATCTGATGTAGTATTCTATTTTGTTGGTATGAATCTCACGAAGAACTTTGATTAAATTTATAATTTTCAGAAAGTTCATGATCTCTTTCATCATGTTTATTTTTACAATTCTCGAGCAAACTCTGTATTTCATTCCAATTAAAGGTGAACGTTGATTGTTCTGGTGTAAATATCTTTTCACTCGAGTAAATTTTTACAGGACCGAATTTCACATGTATAAGGTTCCAGGTTCACAGCGCTAAGCATTCGCGAATTTAGCTTTGCATTCAAGTTAGATCAAAAAATGATAAAGCTCTGTTCGGATCGGGCCCGACCCGAAAATCGTAAAATAGTTTTTCGTCAATAACGTTTATTTGTACTAAGCCACTTGTATTTTGTGTCCTAAGTAGAGTTGTTCGGAATGTAATTGTGTATATATCCATAAATTTCTATTAATATTGAATGAGAAACAACGATTTTTAGGTTGACCCGAAATATGCGTTCCGGATTGGACCCGACCCGGTTGGAGCACTAAAAAATGATCCAAACTTTTAAAATCGGTAATATCATTAGGATAGTGACATTTATTAGCTAATATTTTAGGGGTGAGGTAGAGCTTGATCTTAAGTAGTACAAAATTAAGCATTTTGATTGGTTAGAAGAGGTTACCTGCTGAGATTGGCTGTGTCTCCATTAATGATACTTGACGATGACGAAACATTTCGTCACGTCAATTTGACGAAACCTTTCGTCACGACCATTTTGAAAA